ACTCAACAATACCCAAGCATGAGTACTCAAAGTCGTACTCAAAGTACTTGTTATTCACTCATGAGTACTCAGGTGAGTACTCAGTGAGTAAAAAAATGTATGAGTACGTATGAGTACTCGTCCGGTTTTTCTAGCAGAGTACTTTTTGAGTACTTACACTTGAGTACATTCACTAGGGCGGAGATAGATAGAACTCTTTTAACAAATTGTTGTTTTTCTATAATAGATCGTGGTAAGAAAGGAATAGAACAGAAAATGACATCAACTATACTAACTGAATTATGACTCATAATTTGTGCTGGACGCTTTGATAAAGTTCGATTGGAGAAGAAAAAACTACTATGAGCCTCACCTAGTTTCATGACGCTCCGCCGCCCCTGTATAAGATGATTCAGTTTGTTGGACATGATATGAGGACTGAGGACTAAGGACTATAGTCGTCGGTCCTCATAACAGACAAATCTAATCGTCGACTAGGAAAAGAGTAACTAGAAACTATAGCTCTTGAAATAATTTTTACTTAAATTATCAAATTGAATTGTTGAACACAGAGGAAGTAAGTTAACATGACGTAACAAACATACTTCTCACTACTGTGTAGCCCTTACTCCTTCGATAGAGGGCAGCGCAGTTCAGCTAACCGAAGGCTCGTGAACAAATTCCTAATGAGAATAAAGCTAATTGTTTTTATGACTTACGATAATAGTACGTTGTAGCTGAAGAATATGCGACAGAGTACTATTGAACGTTGGATACTAAGTTCAGCTTTTAATAGTAAAGCTTCAACTGTTCACGAATCACAACTTAGTAAGTTGTGATTCGTTTCTCAAATGCATTAATCAAATGCGCAATAACAAATAAAAACAAAAATGGCTGACATGATGAATTTAATATTAAATCAATCTGTGCTCATACAACTTATATTATTTCAAGGTGAAGTTAAACGTTGTTACGATTTATAAATGTTCGTTGATAAAAGGCTTATAAACGACATTATTACCTGTTAAGTTAAACTACTCTGACTGGATAGAGACTTTGATTCAAAATCGGATGATTAGGGAATCAAACGAGAAACAAAATTCACATCCACTTTGAACAATGAACTTTTTCCACGGAGAGACTCAAATATCTAAGTTTGATTTTAAAAACAAGCGTAAATTTGCTCCGTACGACCCTTTAAACAAATTTATTTATTAAACTAACTGATTGAAACTACAATCGGCTTATTGCTTTTCACATCTTTTGAGTCATGTGTTCTTTCTTTCTCCACACTTTTGGTCGATTTTTCCAGCCACTGTTCTCTCATTTGGAAGCGCAGAAGATTGAAAGATAAACTAGTAGACAGTGGTTATACTGAATATGGTATATCCGAAATTATTTTTCTGATATCATTTTTAATTATCGCATAGTAATTTCCGAAATAGTGGTGTTTGATGTTTAGGATTTCAATTTTTCTAATTCGAGATAATTAGTACCTGACGTACTCTATTGTTTCTCCTATCAGATAATTAATCATCACGTGATATCCTTCGTAATGAACATACACTAGATTGCTTGATATGAGAACAGCTATAGCAGAATGTATGATATTATAATAAATCATCTGATACGATAATGTGAATAATATGCTGTAGAAGAAAAATGTAAGTGAATGAAATTCGAAACATATTTTTGTTGCTAAAAAGAGAAAATACTAGGTTCGTCCACTAAAGTATTTTCGGTCTAAATTAATTATCTACGTAGTTTATGTCATAGCTAGAAGCCAAACGGTTCCAAGAAATGTTTTACTCAATCGGCTTCCAATCTTCGTAGTATACAGTTGGCATCTAGTGCTTTATTTGTTTTACTGTGTCTCTGACAATAACCATTTAAATCCAAATGGATAGTTCTGTAATCTAGAGAGTTAAACTTGAAAAGATATAAGCTATTTAGAAAAAAAAATTGAATTGATTCTATCTTACACTTCAGAATCAGGTACAAAATATTCATTTTGATATTATTAACAGTATTTTTAATAGAAATTTTTGTCGCAGTGGATTTTCCACTGTGAAATCAATGTCATAGTAGAAAATTTGGCATCATCGTAGTTGCTAGAATAGTTTTAACCAAATTTAATAGTTCGAAATACAGTCGAGATTTTAAAGTAACGGTGAAAATCATCGTGTTTTTTAATTTTCCATAGTGAATTCCAGTGGAAAGTTGACTTGTTCACCGTACCATTAAAAACAATGATTTTCAACAATGTTAAATCTCTGTTTTAAAATAAAAGTAACATGAGAAGTCTTTCTGAGAATTCATCTGAATTTTTGTAAATTGATTTTACTATCATAACTCTATAGATTTTCTTCGATACTCACTATGTATAAATCGAACTTATCACAGCAGCTTTGATAAACGTAAACAGTAGATAGATAAATATTGTAGACACCATAAGAATGACATAGTAAAAACGATAAATTGTATATCACTAAATTATAACATTTTCCAATTCATTTTGATATTATAGTTCGTGTATGTAGATGAAGAAAAAAAAAACTAGAGAATTTGTCTATAATTAATGTTTTATGTGTACATTTTAGAGCTGATGCATATTTGTTTATTCTGTATATTATGACGAGAATTTATTACCTTTTTGTATTAAGTAAGTGTTTAAATATTCTCTCTCTGATTTTAAAATATCTTTATCCTATCTATTTCTGTTTAGATCTCGTTTATTCATGTTCAGCTTTTTCTTACGAATCTCTCCATGCAAATGATCATGTTCTTCTATTCGATCCATCAACTTTGACGGTTACCATTAGTGAAGATAAAACTACAAATATTCAATTAATGTATGTATAGACATGTCTCTATTTTCTTTTATCCGATCAATAAGGACTTTATTTTTGATATTTCTAAGCTACAAAGATCCATTTATTCTCTACTTTTTGTTGTAATCGAGATGACTTTCTCTAACTTACCATCATTTTTTTTCTTATTTAGTTCGGAACATGACGAAGATGTTGTAGTTACATTTTTATATGGCGATAATTTACGTGGGGATCCACAAGGTTTCATTAGTCCTCTGAGAAATTTGACATTTAAACGTCACAAACAAATTCAACAAACACTCTATGTCAGAGGTCTCAAAGAAGGCCATATTATTGTTCAAGCACATTCTCAACAAATCAATATTACTAATAAAGATTTTCTTTTGATAAATATTGCAAAAAGTTCAATATTATCAAAATTAATTCAAATATTTGGATGGGTCTATTTTTTTGCATGGTCACTCTCATTTTATCCACAAATTATACTCAATTTCAAACGGAAAAGGTAATCATTCATTCTTCTACTAAAACATGATATTTTTTAAAGAGTGAATTTAATCAGTCATCCTTAACACATTATTTTCATAAAATCAGAAGACAATTGTTCACTTTCTTTTTTTTGCTGAGTATTTTGACCGTAGTATTATCGATAAAAACAAGTATGATTTCTCGACATTCATTTATAGATAGGGTAACAATATTCATAAGATGTTAGCACTAGGCAAATCACGTCTTTGACAATTTCTACTATATCAGAAAAAGAAAGAAAATTTATTTATAACCTTTATGCTACTTTCTTTTTTAGCGTTGTCGGTTTAAATTTTGATTATTTAGCGTTAAATTTATTGGGTTTTTTCTGTTATTCTGTATTTAATGTTGGTTTATATTTATCAACGGATGTTCAAGTGAGATAACATCAAATATACCGTTTGTTTAGAACTTATTTACATGTTTTCTATTTTAGTCTCAATATTTTAATCTTCATCCTCGTGGTATTAATCCAGTATTGTTGAATGATGTTCTATTTAGTATTCATGCATTTATTGCTTGTCTGATTACTTTATTTCAATGTCTTTTCTTTGAGGTAAAAAGAAGACAAAAATATTTAGAATCATAGATTTATTTATTCTTTAGAAATTAAGGAAAAAATGTACTTAAGTGAAACTTTTTCACTTGTATTCTGAAATTATAATGGTTAGATTAGAATTTTGTGTGTGCGAGATGGACACACTATGTGAAGTAGACATGTTCCGATATCAATATCAACAAATTACTTAACTGGTTTCAATCTACTATGCAGAGTTGACTTCTCGTGCAGTTCATTGACGAGGGAATCTTTTCAGATGATAAAAAGCTTTTTGAATGGAATTTATTTTCCTATGTAGGTCCTAATGAGTCACTAACTTGATTCATCCCCATGATCCTTTGTTGCTGGAATATTGAATTTTTAGTCAGTTCTTGCCTATAGAGTTTAGATTTCGAGCAAAATCCGATTTTTTCGAATTTTGACTTGAAATTTGCCATACTGGTAGCCCGCGGCCATAGTAATACGACGGGAAAAGTTCGGTCCTAATGAATTCTCCTGCCTTGAAGTATTGAGACTCGAACGTTTCACCTTTTTAAACTTCAAGTGAAATATTCGAGTCTCAATATCTTAAGACAGGATAAGTCATTAGGACCGAATTTTTTCCCGTCGTATTACTATGATCATGGGCAAGTTTCAAGCCAAAATTCGAAAATCGAATTTTGTTCAAAATCCAAGTTCTATAGGCAAGAGCTGACTAAAAATTCAATATCCCAGCAACAAAAGACCATGGGGATAAACCAGGCTGATGTATTTCATAACTCATTAGGACCTACATAGGAAATATGTCCCGTTCAAGGTCATCTGAAAAGGATCTCTCGTATGGATGAATGAAAAGCAAGACAATCTTACCATTCATTCATTCCATACTCTGTCTGATGTATGCGTGATGAATTTCTCCGAAGATTTATACAGAAACATTAACTAGTTAATCATCAGATCGTCGGTAGTGTTAGCGGCTCTAGTTTATTGCAATGTACTGCTTTATATCAGATGTAAGCGGTTTCTAACTGTTGAATCATTTATTTTTCTAAAAAAACCTTTCGTGAGCTTTTACATCTGTATAGTTGCAATGCGAAATTAAGACACAGTTATCAATGTACTTATTATCCATAGTCCAACATCTACCATCTTTGTTGTTGATTCATACAAACAAATAAAGATGGATGTTAAATTACTGTGAATGTTGCTATGTAAAATCTCTATGAAAAGCGAATAAATGGTCTTGTCATTTTCACTGACAAATGGCTGAGTCTTAGAATAAAAGGAATATTTAAATAAAATAATCTAAGCGTTTCTCTATATTAAAAAGAGTTTACACGCCTTAGTGGGCACAGTATTTCAATTCTTCAGCAATTTCGATAACGTCGTTTTCTAAACAGTTTTTTCATGGATGACGATTTGATAATTGATTATTCGACAAACAATTTATACATGATAGAGCGCAGCGTACACAATCTTACGGTTTATTGGTATGTAAGAATGTCAAATTTCTTGTACAAAATCAAAATAAATATTATTTTATTGAAAAAGAAGATATCTAGGTGAAGAAGCAGTTTCTTTCAGAGTGCATAAATTGTTTATCGAATATACATTTCAGTGTTATTGTTTCAATCCTCTGAGAAATTTATCAATCATTTATACATCAGACAAAGTGTGAAATGAATAAGAAGACAGTCTTACTTTTCATTCATACTCAGCAAACGGCACGAGAAGTCAACTCTTCACGAGAGATAGAATTTGAAGTCCAGTTAAGTCATTTAAGGTCAAAATACAAGTATTTCGGCACTGATGTATGCCCTAATTTGAAGACATTTATGTTACAGAAACGTTGTATATCATGTTTTTATAGGATCCGCATGGGACTGTGCAGGAATGAATGTCGTTTCAGTACTGAAAAATCTCTCAATCTATGCCCGCTCTCTAACAAACTGGAGAAAGAAAAAATTGTTTTATTTTGTTTGTAAACAAACGTAGATGGATTTTTTATATCCATCCTTTATTCGTTAATGAATTGCGAGACAACGTCTTTCAGTGTCCTTATATATTTAAGTATAGTGTTATTTTATCTGTTTATGTATCTGTTATTAATTCTAGTTTTCAAAAACACCAAAATTAATTCGATCACTCACTGGAGTGTTGAAAGTAGCGTAGCTCTTGTTTTATAGTGTAGACCAGTACTGTACACGGGGAAAGGTTATTATCCTTTTGAATACATGATTAATGTAGAGAAAAAAATTAATATTTTTTATTAACTGATGTTTAATGTCTCTTGTTTATTCTATTTTTTAGCGTGCTACTCAACGTTTATCTTACATAACAACAACATTAATCGTTGTTTTTGTTTTATTCTTATCTATTTCTTCAACTGTGGCCGTATTTCATCGTATTCCATCATTAACTGTTCTCTACTTTTATTCGTACGTCAAATTAACAATTACGGCAATCAAATACGTACCACAAGTAAGTTGATGATTATGCAACGATCTTAGCACATTAAAGAGTGAAAATCTCTTGTTCTGTGGTTTCATTGTGCAAGTTTACGTACATTCCTCCTCGTTTTAAAACAATTTTGTCTCGACAGTCATGTAAACTTTAATGACTGTTTACTTTCAAACTTGTAGCAAAGGAGGAGGAAGTAAATGAGCTATAAGAAGAGTTTCGATTCGTTTTTCTGTAAGTCTTTCAAAAAAAACGAAATTAACACAAAAAAGCAGACATTATTGTCGCACATGTTTTTTTCTAATAAATGATCTATCAACGTACTGTCAGTCAATGATAAGCCAAAATTTAACATTTTAGGCTGAATTTATGTTTGTGAAACATTTTTAAAACTACGTATGACTAGCCATGCACCAGTTACAGTTAACTGTAAAACTGTAGCTGCTATAATTGTTAGGAAAATATTTCAGAATGAGTTAATGTTGTACGATTAGCATAGATTTCAGAGTAAGGACAAATAAGGGACATATATTTAGCTTTTCTACAGAATTGGTACAGGTTAGTTACTTTTTTTTGAAGATAATTATTTTTGTCGACAAAATCACATCTATTTCTTTACTGTGCAATCTAAGAGAATTAGGCATGCAACAGATACAGTTAACTGTAAACTGTAATTGTCATAACTACAACTAAGAAAAGGGTAAAATTGTCAAAAAAAATTTTTAGTATTTTGGTTTCGATTCGTAATATATATTTTTTCGTAATTATTTTATCATTCTCGCCTTATAACGTTTCATTTCTATACTCTAACAGTGTGTTATACGTTTCTAACGTCATTAACAATGACGCACACATGTTCTTAGATTGCACAACAAAGAATTAGATGTGGTTTTGTCGACAAAAATAATTATCTTCAAAAAAGTAACTAACCTCTACCAATTCTATAGAAAAGCTAAATATATGTCCACGTCCAAAATCGAATTCCGTCCAATCTGGGATTGGCCTAGGCCAAAGTTGAATGCAACATTGGACGCGCCCAATCTCAGATTTTGATAGCACTATACAGAAAACTGCAAATTTTAAGTAACGTTTAGTAGGAATTTTCCTTAAAGTATTTTCTAGATATCCGCTTGTTTATGCTGATTTGAAAACAGTGTTTGTTGACTCATCAATCGACATATTTGCTCTCGTATATGTGTAAGATCGAAATTGTGTACAGGGTCAGTTTGGGAAGACGAGCACAAGGACCAGTGGTGCTAGTGAGTCACTAATCGTAAGTACTGTTTTCAAATCAGCACGAACGAGCGGATATCTAGAAAACACTTTAAGGAAAATTCCTGCTAAGCGTTACTTAAAATTTGCAGTTTTCTGTGTAGTACTATCAAAATCCGAGATTGGACGCGTCCAATCTTGCATTCGACTTTAACCTAGGCCAATCCCAGATTGGACGAAATCCGAGTTTAGACACTGACGTATATGTCCTTTTTTTGTCCTTACTCTAAAACCTATGCTAATCGTACAACATTAACTCATTCTGAACTATTTTCCTAGCAATTATGATAATTACAGTTATAACAGTTATAGTTAACTGTCAAAAACTGTAACTGGTGCATACCCATGCATAGAACTGTAAAAGTTCTCGCTGCGTTGATTTAACGCGAACTGAAAATACAGTTACCGTGGAAATAATGGTAACTATTAGTTAGTTAACTTTGTGGTAATTAATTTTTTATGTATGGCAGAAATACCCACGCAGCGGCTTAAAAAAGCTTCCAAAATCGCTAGTTTTCCGCTAAAACTGTTGAATCTTTCATAAATGACATGGTTTTGATTAGCACACACGTGCCAGTCAACTAAGCTAATCGAAAGTATATAGCTTCAATCTTTTGTAACTGCAGTTTTTAAGGTCTCTGAAGATCTCAGCATCTACAGCCAGCTTGAGAAATCTTTTTTGTTTTCAGACTACAAAACCATGTCATTTATGAAAGATTCAACAGTTTTAGTGGAAAACTAGCGATTTGGGAAGTCATTTTAAGCCGCTGTGTGGATATTTCTGGCATACATAAAAAATAGTTACCACAAAGTTAACTAACTGATAGTTACCGTTACTTCAACGGTAACTGGAAACGCAGTTATCGTTAAAGCAATGATAGCCGTCTTTTTAGTTAGCGTTGTCGATAACGGCCGAAGAAGTAACGGGAACTTTTACAGCCCTACCTACGTATGACATCTGTTACAGTCTGAAGAGTAATACTTTTGCCTAAAAAGGACATGCTCTAATTTATATTCGGAATGAGTATATCACCACTTATTAGTAAAGAATAAATACATGCGTCAGAACGTTTGTGTTGTTTTAAAAGTTAAAAAATTGTTGTTTGTAACAAACGTTGATTTTTGATGTTCATCCTTTGTTCGTTACTAAAACTACGAGACAACGTCTTTCAGTGTCCTATATATTTGAGTATACTGTTATTTGTTGTTGTTAAAAAATTGAACCTTTCATCTGTTGAACAATTTAATAGCATTATTATTATAATGTGTTAATCTTTATTTGATATTGTTTCCTTCAGGTCTTTTATAATTATCGTCGTAAATCAACGGAAGGCTGGTCAATTGGAAATATAGTCTTAGATTTAACTGGCGGTATCTGCAGTCTTCTGCAAATGTTTTTATTGGCATTGAACTACAATGATTGGTCATCACTATTCGGTTCACCAACAAAATTTGGTCTTGGCCTTTTATCAATTATGTTCGATATCATTTTCATTCTACAACATTTTATATTCTATAAGAAGAAACAATATATAACACTTAATTCAACTGTTGTGGAAGGAAACGAAGAACAACATGTGAATGAAAATTCATACAGTGAGTGAATTATGAAAAAATATTTGTTTGTTTACTGTGATGTACTTATTGAATTGAATTATTCCTTGTAAAATTTTTATTTATTCAAATAATAGTATGTTTTTGAATTATTCTAATTATAAATCGTTTTAATCATATTTCACTGACACATTTTCATTAGAACTACTCGACATCTTTTATTTCAATTGGTTTTAATGACGGATATTGACTCTTTAAAGTTCTTTTTGTCATACAAAGTGATAGTTAAGAAGCCTATAAATACTTTTTTATACGAAGTAAAAACATTAAGCGAACGGCACTGAACGCAGAAAAAAGTTTTAAGTCTGACAATGAATTGTGAATGAAGATTAGCATGGAGTTAGCAACTGATTTAAAAAGTCAAGTAAGAATATAAGTAAATCAAATGGACTCCTCAATTCAGGGGAGATCATTTCGGTTGAGTTAGTTTTTGATAAAGACATGTGCGAAATATGGAATTTCAAAACCATTCGACCTCTGCTATGCGCATTACAAAATCAAGAAAACTTTTTACGAATAAAGTTGATCTACACAGAGCTCAGAAAGAGGTGTGTATACAAAAAAGTAAGTTTCTCGGTCCAACAAGACAGCTGGCCAAATGAGGATGATGGAAATTCCTAGCGAAATTAATGAAAAAGCCCCATTCTTTTAAGCCTCTTACCAGACAGTGAATAAACTTGTGGTTGTGAATTAGTGATAATTGATACGAATAGTTCGCTTGACGCATTCATTACCTATCAGTGTGGTTCATTGATAAAAGCTTTCATAATCGTATGGGTTTTCTTCTATTCAATGTTATAATTATTCTAAAAGTGGTAAATATACTCGATTTAAAACAATAAGAATAGTAACAAAAACAGTAAATGTCAAATGATGATAGGAATAATAATAATGATAATGACAGCGACACTGGAATTTAATAATAAAACAATCGAAAAGAATTACGACCTCTTCCTATTCAAGCAAAATTCTCACATTCTAAACGTCGTCGAAGGAATTCATTATCAAACTGCTATTGTACTTTCGTACACTTCCTTTTTCTTCTACATTAGTGAGAAAAAATTCAAAGCTGAAATCTTTGGAAAAACCGGGTCTCAGGTTCGAATGGTGTCCAGTTTCATGCGCTCACTTACATTCCATCTGCCCTGTAAACATCGAGGAAGAGGATTTCACTTTCTTTAGAGCCTTGTCTTTGCTCCCAATATCTGAGATAAGGGGAAAATGGTTTTGATGTTTTCGTTACACATTCCGAAATTTATTGTTATCCAAAGAATTAGACAAAGTGAAACCTTCTTGTGCATAACACTGTTATGTCAGGATTCTAGATCCCTCCATAAGTGCAATCGTTGTCATATATATATATCATACGTTTCGAAAAATGGAAAAGTACATATTCATGATCTGATCGAAAAACTCTATCGAATGGTGTATCATAAGTCTAGAAAATAATTTTGCTTCGTTTTTGCATTAGCTGCACCTTATTTATCTGCTAAATTGTCCAGACTTACGTGTTATGAGATGTATTGATGTAGTGGTGAAATATTATTTCACTACCAGGCAAATTAGGGGAGGGTCTGCCTGTTCACATATTGCCGATCAAAAAGTAGATCAAATTTAGTTAATAAAGAATTCAAATTTTTGGTAGCTTTCGCTGTTATACTTCGCATATTTAGAACTAGCAATTCTATTGGAATTGTCATCTGACTGTTTTTTTTAACCATGGTTATATAAAAGCAGACTGGAATGCTCCTCAGCGGTCTTATCTTTAGAACACATGAATGATAACGGATAGTATTTAACACACAAGATTATGAGAGAGAGATGGCATGCTATTTTACAGTAATGTCGTAAGAATGCGAAGATAATAAAGATTTCTCTTTTTCGGAGAAGAAGGAAAAGAGAGGAATGATCCTCTTTTAAAAAATGACGGTGACATGAGTAGGAAAGAATTCAGGAATTTGACAGCTAAAAATTGTGACTCTGAGAAGTGAAGGAAGATTGATAAGACGTGTACAAATGTGGATAAAGACATCCATAAAAAATTCACTCCTAGATAAAATCGTATTTACAACAGTAACTAATTAACTATTCCTTGTTCTTACTCTGTGATGCAATTTGTGCTATATCATTATCTGAACGAATAAAAGCTTGTTGATCATTCAAGTAATTGTAGATATTTCCATCTTTTGCATAGAATTTGACTTTAGGACGAAGATGAATACATTGTTTAAACAGATTTAAATTTTCTTTAGTTAGATCTTCACGTATTGTAACATAGTAAATATTCTGTACCATTTAAATATTGACGATTTTTATATAACATTTCTCGTGCACGATGCGAAGTCAATCGTACAATTATTGGACGAGACATGTACCACATTATTAATTACTCTCGAACTGCGTATTTCGTATGATTTCTGACTCCATCAGCTAATTCATTCATTCTGGTTTGAATAGCACTTAATTTATCTAGGGATGCATCGAGACGGGGTACTCGATACCCGAAACTTTAGTCCCGAGTCTCGAAAGTTTCGGTCTCGATTAGTCTCGATATAAAAGTTTCGGTCTCGAATAGTCTCGATATAAAAGTGCCGGTAGCAAAACTTTCCGAGACTTTTTCTAGACTATTTTTTTTGTTCTGTATATAAGATTTCTTTGGTGAAATATGTACTGGACGTAATGTCGAAAGATATTTTTTTGTGGTAGATATTTTGTATGGTAACTTTTTTGATACTTTTAATCACTAAAAGTGAAAACTTCATGTAGCGTATAAAGTTAGGTAACTAAGCGTTACTTATTTTAGTTTTCCCAGAATAATTTAGTTAAAATGAAATAAAAGAGCATATCACTATCATCGTAGTTATTCGGACTAGTACAGAATTGTTGTGGATTTTTCAGTACATTAACAATCCGGGTTTTATATTGTATAGAAAATGCATTCGATTTTCTGAAGTATCGATTTTGTAGAGAGGAAAATATCTTTAAGAATTTTCTATAAAAATTTCTCAAGCTAT